GAAGGAAAAGGGAAGAGGATTTCGGCTTATCATCCGAGATCTCCGAGCTCGATGTCGATATCGATTTCTCGACAAAGTTCCGCCATTGATGCTGAAGCTCTGCCTGACCTAGGAGCAAAATAGAGGCACAAAAAGGAAGAAGCCATTGATGGGAGTGAGCCATACTATACTCCTTTCTTCTTTCGTTTTCGCCCTTTTGTGGTTAGAAATGCATAATTGTGTGTTCACGTGTATTGGGATACTTTCCTATTATAATGAGTACAGAACCTTACACTATGAGACTAATTATGACCATCATGTTCGTATGATATACGACAACCGCTATTCTCTCTGGGTGTCTACAATACCCCGTCAAGGACTACTAGCCTCACCAGTAGGTCCAGGGGGTGTGCGAGACTAGTGGGTTCATGTTCGCATACGTGGGTTGTGTATAGAAAAGTATTACACATCCAATTAAGCTCGAGCTGGAAAGTTGCCTATGAGAATGAAATGATGTTTTAAATGATGGGTCTCACTGTTTTGTTTTGCGTGCGTTTGATTTAACATGAGATTACTTACTTACTATTTCTTAAAATACTTAAACTATGTGTTACTTTTATATTTCAGGTAAAGGCAAGACATTGCTGTATATATGAGATATGACGTGTGAAGACATTGGAACCGATGTTAGAGTAGTTGCATTTCATCTTATTTATTAGTTTTAGGGTTAGATTAGGGCAACGTGTTGTTTTCTACTTTTTGGAAATATTGTTTATTTTCGTTTCTTATATGTTTTTGGACCGACTTAAAGGATTTAATTTTTAACGTGTAAGTCCATAACATTGTTTATGAACTATTTAAAATGAATATTTTCGTATAAAAATGTACATTATGCATGTGGTAGCAATTTTATTTTAGTAGAAAATAGAGTCGTTATATGAAGAATTTTAGATGGTGTTAGGTGGGTTTGTTAAGAATGAGAAATAGAAATAGAATTGGGATCGAAAGTATGATCTTCATTCAGGTTTACCACGTTTAAATAGGATACAAACTATCAACTAATACCTAAAAATAGAAAAAATAACTATCAACTAATACCTAAAAATAGAAAAAATATATATCTAATTAAACCTGGTAAATAAATAAAATATACGGTTAATCAAATCTATACTAACAACTTCCTAAATATCTAAGATATATTCTAACTAATTATCACGGCAAAATATCCTCTTAATACTCCCCCTCAAGTTGGAGAGTGTATGTCGATCACACCCAACTTGTTCTTCAAAAAGTCAAATTGCTGTCTTCCCAAAGCTTTAGTAAAAACATCTGCCAATTGCATTTTGGTCGAAACATAACACGGTTTGATGATTCCAGCTTGTAATTTTTCTCGAACTATATGACAATCTATTTCAATGTGTTTCGTACGTTCATGAAAAACTGGATTGGCTGCTATATGTAATGCTGCTTGATTATCACAATATAATAATGCTGGTTCGGACAGTGGAACATTCAAGTCTTGAAGAATGTATCTTAACCAAGTTAACTCTAAACAAGTATTTGCCATAGCTCGATACTCGGCTTCTGCTGATGATCTGGACACATTAGTCTGCTTTTTAGACTTCCAAGAAATAATTGAATTTCCGAGGAAAATGCAGAACCCAGAAATAGATCGTCTGGAAGTTCGACAACCACCCCAGTCAGAATCGCAATATGTCTGTAATCTTAAATTGTTTTCAGATGGCAGTAGAAGTCCTTGACCAGGAGTGCCTTTAATGTACCTCAGAACTCGAAGAGCTGCCTCCCAATGTGCTTTTCTAGCTCTTATTACATCCCAGACAGAACCTAAAACCTATGACGAGGCAGTTGGCGACCCGTTATGGCAGCAGGCTATGAATGATGAAATTGCAGCTTTGGAACGTAATCATACATGGTCTCTCGTTCCACTACCACTTGGTCATAAAGCTATTGGTTGTCGTTGGGTGTACAAAATTAAATACAACTCTGATGGTTCTGTTGAACGTTATAAAGCTCGACTAGTAGCAAAGGGGTACACTCAGGTTGAAGGTATTGATTACACAGAAACATTTTCCCCTACAGCGAAACTTACTACACTTCGTTGCTTACTCACTGTTGCTGCTGCTCGAAAATGGTTCACTCATCAGTTGGATGTTCAAAATGCCTTTCTCCATGGTAATCTAGACGAGGAAGTTTATATGTCTTTACCACCAGGTCTTCGCCGACAGGGGGAGAATACAGTATGTCGGCTCCATAAATCTCTTTATGGATTAAAACAGGCTTCTCGCAATTGGTTCTCCATATTTTCTACAACTATACAAAATGCAGGCTGAACTTTTGCTCGCATTGTATCATTTGGTCTACGTACCGGAACTGATAACATTCGAGATTATGCAGGATTATACACAAAAGATCCTCTTTTGGCTCTCTCTTTAGCCCTATGTCTCTTATCCTTAGGAGGTCTTCCTCCACTAGCAGGTTTTTTCGGAAAACTTCATTTATTTTGGTGTGGATGGCAGGCAGGCCTATATTTCTTGGTTTCAATAGGACTCCTTACGAGCGTTGTTTCTATCTACTATTATCTCAAAATAATCAAGTTATTAATGACTGGACGAAACCAAGAAATAACCCCTCACGTGCGAAATTATAGAAGATCTCCTTTAAGATCAAATGCGAAACTTACTACACTTCGTTGCTTACTCACTGTTGCTGCTGCTCGAAAATGATTCACTCATCAGTTGGATGTTCAAAATGCCTTTCTCCATGGTAATCTAGACGAGGAAGTTTATATGTCTTTACCACCAGGTCTTCGCCGACAGGGGGAGAATACAGTATGTCGGCTCCATAAATCTCTTTATGGATTAAAACAGGCTTCTCGCAATTGGTTCTCCATATTTTCTACAACTATACAAAATGCAGGCTACACTCAGTCCAAAGCAGATTACTCTTTGTTTACTAAGAGTAAAGGTACTTCTTTCACTGCAGTTCTAATCTATGTTGATGATATTCTGTTGACAGGCAATGATCTCGAAGAAATTCAATATCTCAAGACTAGTTTACTCCAGAAATTTCTTATCAAAGATTTAGGAAATTTGAAATATTTTCTAGGCATTGAATTTTCTCGATCTAGAAAAGGAATTTTTATGTCTCAAAGAAAGTATGCTCTAGACATCCTTCAAGACACAGGTCTTACAGGAGCACGTCCAGACAAATTTCCTATGGAGCAAAATCTGAAACTTTCTTTAACCGAAGGAGAGAAGTTGAATGATCCAAGTAAATACAGACGGTTGATTGGCAGATTAATATATTTGACCGTCACTAGGCCTGACATAGCTTATTCAGTTCGTATGCTTAGCCAATTTATGCATGAACCAAGAAAAGCACATTGGGAGGCAGCTCTTCGAGTTCTGAGGTACATTAAAGGCACTCCTGGTCAAGGACTTCTACTGCCATCTGAAAACAATTTAAGATTACAGGCATATTGGTGTGCGGTACGCTTCCAGTTCATCCCAGAGTGCTTTGAGCTTGGTGAAATATGTTTGACAGTGCCATGGTTCCTTGTGACATCGTTGCTATCGAGTTTTGTATTTGAAAAATTGCTGGAGCATTCTTTTGTGAGAATTGATCGTGAAGATCAACCCACACTTGATGAGCTGTCTTGGCGTGAATAATGCCTTTAGCGATATCTGCTTCAACGGAATGAGTTAACCAAGATATTATCATACTGTTGCACTGATTCCAGAGTTCGAATTCGGTTGAATTTGCATCTTGGGACGGTTCCTCAATTGTGCCATCAATGAAGCCAATTTTCTTCTTGGCAATAAGAGCATGCATAACTGATTTCCTCCAGGATTGATAATTTGCTCCATTTAATTTGATTGGAACAAGTGAATATCCTGGCTGATCAGAGTGATGAATATAGTACGGATGTGTTAAATCAACATCCGAAATTTTGAAGCTAGATTTGGCTGATTCCGCCATAAAGGAAATTTTGATATTTAAGAACACCAAGATCGGTGCTCTGATACCATGTTAAGAATGAGAAATAGAAATAGAATTGGGATCGAAAGTATGATCTTCATTCAGGTTTACCACGTTTAAATAGGATACAAACTATCAACTAATACCTAAAAATAGAAAAATAACTATCAACTAATACCTAAAAATAGAAAAATATATATCTAATTAAATCTGGTAAATAAATAAAATATACGGTTAATCAAATCTATACTAACAACTTCCTAAATATCTAAGATATATTCTAACTAATTATCACGGCAAAATATCCTCTTAATAGGGTTTTCGGGATTCAAATCCCTACAAACAAAAAAGTAGTCCGTGCGTGTTTAATGCACCCGACTGACTTAATCCAAAATTTCGAGTTGGTTGGATTTGTGACTTGAACAACCGAAATAGAGTTCACAACCCAACCCAATCTAGATGGGATTGTCTGGTTGTTTTTTTTTTTAATTATTTAAAAAAATCGTATTTATCCCTAATACTTTGTTACATTAATAAATAAAATCTTTCTCGTTTAGGAATAAAAATTTAATTTATTCAATTTTATCTAATAATTTTTTTTTCTTAAACTTTAGCAAATAATTTTGATTATACAAAATTAGATGCCATTTAAATAATTATCTTCTAATAAATTATAATTAAATGCCATAATTAGCTATTTTTTTCTAATTTCAAATGGAATTTTAATTAAAAATTATTTTAAATAATAATAAAAAAAAAAAGAAACAAGAATCCTATTATTTTAAAAATACTTTTTTTTTTATTATTTTTAAAAAGGATTTAACAAAACAATATTTATTCTATAAAGCCGGCCACATACATGAACCATAATCAGCTCCGTTTGATTCGGTCAACGGTGAACTGGAAGCCACGTGGAGGATTCTTATTGGTGAATTTACCGAAAGGCTGATTGTACCTGATTCTCCAACGCATCACGTTTCCGAAATGGAAGATGAAAGACATAAAGAAAAAAACACATTTTAAAAATTCCATTAGAAGCGCCTTGAAAGAACAAACCAATCCAGATTTCTGAGGAGCGGAGAGGAGAGGAGTGGAGAGGGAGGCCCACGACGGAGTAGACGGGGATCCGGCGGTTCCGCGAGGAAAGATTCCCTTTCCGTTGCGGTTGTCGAGAACGGTTTCGTTTTATGTCTTTTTCACTAAGCTTTCGACAACGAACTGCGATTTCTACTGCCCTTCTCCCGTCTCCACTCCGTTAAATCACGAGTACGTTTTTTTCTTTTCTTAATCTTTTGTTTGATTCTCTATTTTCGATGAATTTCCTTGTTTAGATAGGTTCTTTGGGGATTAGGTATTTTGTAGTTTTCGATTTGGAACTCTCTCTTGGAATTGGGGTTTTGATTTCATCGAAATCTGAATTGGTGGTTGAAGCGGATACTTATTTTGATGGGCTTTGTTGTGTTTGAGTTGTTATTTAATATTACGGTGATCAAATTCTGATGGGAGATCGGTATCTCTTTGATAGATTGATGGGGGCATTGTTATAATTGAAGGGTTTGGAATATATTTCGTCTGCAGGCTAAGCCTCATTATTCCTGTGGATGTATCTTGTCGTCATTCAAGAAGAAGATCGGCTTGTGAATTTGCCCAAATCCTTTCTGGGTATTCTCAGGCCGCCTTGTCTGTCTGTTAAGAGAAAGATCTTCTCACATTGTGTTCAGAGAGATAGATGGGATAAAGAATTCTTCAAGCTGCAGAGCGGATAATATTGATTTCGTGTGAGATTGGTTTCAAAGTTGTTTTGGTTTGAGCAGTTGGTAAGGTTTTTCGATTATCCAAGATGAATTCGTCTCAAGGGTCTACTTTGTCAGCAAATGTTGCTGGATTTGTAGATGGTTCGTCTGCGAAAAGAGAAGTCTCGTTCATTGACAGTCTACCTGTTTATGTTAAAGAGCTTATAGCTGGTGGTGCTGCTGGTGGCTTTGCTAAGACTGCTGTTGCACCATTGGAACGAATTAAGATACTCTTGCAGGTGACTTTCTAGGTGGTTTCTTTAGAGACTAACTTTATTTAACTTTATTATTGTTAATTTTGTTTACCTATATGCATGAAATCCTTACAAGACTGTAGGATTAAATGTTGATAGCAATTGGGATTGGTTTAGAGAATGAGGAACCGCCGTTTCATTATGCTCGCGGTCTCCTTCCAATCCCAAGAGGGTTTTGTCATTCTCAAGGCCAGGCCGATTCAGACATTAAGGATCTTTAGATATTGAGTTTTCAATTTGAGTCTTAAACCATGGACTTGGAGGGTATCTGTAACGTTCAAAGTCCATCGCCGGTAGATATTGTCCTCTTTGAGCTTTCCCTTTTGGGCTTCCACTCAAGGTTTTGTTACAGTATCTCCCAATGTACTAGCCTTTACCTCTAGACCGTCCTTGGAGCTGTCTCGTATTTGTTGGTGCAAGAAGTATAATCACTTTTTTTAAGTCAATGAGCTTATTCATTTGGGAGAATAAGAAAAGTAGGTGGCTCATGATGGAAACATATAAACTACAACATCAATATCAATACAATTGTTCTATAATCTGAACTCTGTATTATGAACATTGACAGACGAGAACCGAAGGATTCCAATCTCTTGGAGTCTTTCAATCTTTGAGGAAGGTGCTGAAGCATGAAGGTGTGCGTGGATTTTATAAGTAAGTTTAGAATTTTGTATAGTGAGAACTTTTCTTTGTCTAAACTACTGTCCTCTGAATGTAAGTTTTCTACTTTTATGCTTTAGGGGAAATGGCGCTAGCGTTGTTCGGATTATTCCTTATGCAGCTCTTCATTTCATGGCGTATGAGCAATATCGGTGTTGGATATTGAATAACTATCCCAGCTTAGGAACTGGGGCTCATATCGATCTTCTAGCTGGTTCGGTAGCTGGGGGAACAGCTGTTTTGTGCACGTATCCCTTAGACTTGGCACGGACAAAACTTGCCTACCAGGTATATATTATAATGCTATTTCATTATGTATATTAACTTCAAAAGTATATTTTTTAATTTGCAATCATTTACGGACTGATATTCTTCCTCTTGTCCCATTTTTGACCTTGTATGTATTCAAGATATGAACGATTTCTTGTTCAACTGTTTCATTCTGTTTTAAGCTCTTGGAAGTTCATCTAACCGTTTCGTTACGTTGGGATATAGATTAGTGACACAAGAATGGTGAAGAGCGGTGGTTTTAGAAGTTATCATGCTCAACCTATGTACAATGGCATCAGGGATGTTCTAATGCGTGTTTATAGCGGTGGTGGAGTACGTGCACTATATCGTGGTGTTGGTGTGTCTCAATTGTCTTCTCTTTTTAGTTGATCTTTACATGATTTTTTGTATTCTGAACCAAGTTAACTTGTTTATGGACACTGATTAAACATGTTTTTCATGTTTGAATAGGTCCAACACTGACTGGAATCCTTCCATATGCTGGCTTAAAGTTTTACGTTTATGAAGAACTTAAAAGTCACGTTCCTGAGGAGCATCAGAAATCTATTGTAATGCGGCTTTCCTGTGGAGCTCTGGCTGGTTTGTTGGGGCAGACGGTCACTTATCCATTGGATGTTGTTAGAAGACAAATGCAGGTATTGTTCTTCATCATTTCCTAACACTTTTGTTTGGGATTTAATCTCATTGTTGCTGAAACCAAATTCCTTGAGAACCGAACTGAACCAATCCAAACCGACAACCAACAAAACATATGAACTGCCAGTCTATCCAAACTGCAATCGATTAGTTCTCGATTTTATACCATTGAAAACCAAACCGACCAACAAATATGGTTCAAAACATGGATCGGTCCGCATTTGGCGATGCTGGATTTTCTCTTTAAGTTGAATTGCTTGACGAGACCTGGGAGGCAGACCATTTTGCTTTTGATGTTGGGGGAAACCCAGCTGCTGCCGGTTGGTGCGGGCAAAAACATTGACCTGCGAACCTGCCCAAAAAGTGGGGTAAAGACCCACGCTATTGCTTATGAAAGACTACTTTCCAAGCCGAATCAGACTGAGATTTTTGCATAAAAATCTCTACCCTTCCCTAGAGCTCTCCAATTCCCACATCTACAGTTATAATGTTAGTTCGAACTACGAATGAACGGTTCCTTCTTCGTTGGTTTAACCCATTGATTTGTTATGTGCAGGTTGGAGATATGCCATCTTCGCTAAATGGTGAAGTCAGATATGGGAACTCAAGAGAAAGGCTTAGGATAATCGTTCGTAACCAAGGATGGAGGCAGTTGTTTGCAGGACTCAGCATTAATTATATTAAGGTAACAGTTGAGATTGAAACGGTTGAAGTGTGTTGTTCATGCTAAGTTCTCTTCCATTTTGTCAATTATGCAGATTGTTCCTTCTGTGGCCATTGGGTTTGCTGCATATGATAGCTTGAAGCTATGGCTCCGAATCCCACCCCGCCAGAAGACACAGTCGATATCGTCTGCTGCATAAACCTACGACGCTCTCTCTAAAATGCCTTGTACTAACTGGGTCTCGTTGATTATGAACTGCTACTCAACCTTACATCTTTATGAAGTATCTGTTTGTGATCTAACACTGTTTTGAATCTATAACAACACATGCTTCCTAATTCTCTCTATGTTTGTGATGCCCTGAACTAGTTTTGGGAACTTATAATGTATCTAAGAGTGATGATTCCGACTATGATCGTTACATGTATGATACTAAATATAGTTGGAATAATCATTAATAGTTGCATAGACAGTTATCTTCGGGCTCAAATTTATATTGGTAGTTACTTTTAAGTGGTAGTCACAATGTGATAGTTACATTTGTGGTGAAGGTGGAAATAATAGAGAAAGTGAGAGCTTCTTATTTGTTGGCTTGTACCTTAATGATTTTTTTTATTTTATAATGGGTGGAGAACAAAACATCATTTATAAAGGTGTGGAAATCTTCCTCTCGAGAAGTGCTTTTAAAACCTTGAGGGGAGGCTCAAAATGACAATATTTGCTAACGATCGATTTGGGCCTAATTTTTTTTTACCATGTCTCTGCTGAAAAATGTTTTTTAAACTAACCTATTTTAAGTATATTTTATTTCTAAGCCTATCACCAAGTATTAAAAAACACAAGAAATAATCTTGTTTTTATCTGAATTCCTTAATTTTAAAATTCATAATTTTCCATTTATAGGACACAAAACACAAAATATTTAATAAAATTTCCATCCAACTAGACATAAGAGATTGAAAGATGCATAATTTTTTTAAAACAAAAAAACAAATTCAATAATGGCAGCCAGTGATAAATATTCATATTCTGGGTAGGTGAGTCCAGAACAAAATGATTTTATGGACTCTCAACTGCCTTCTGAAGCAGGCAGGCAGCTTAGAATTTAAAACTGACCTTCATCTTCAACAATGGCTGGCAGCTGCAGCTGCAGCTCTAGCAGACGCCGCCATGCACTGCAAACCTTCCATATCTGGCTTTCCTGTCGGATATTATTATTATAAATCAACAACTTGGGATAATTTACCTTTTTTCTAAACCAACGTCCTGTAAATTAGATCAATGCAAGACTTTCCACAATCCCCAGTTTGATGACAGCGACTGCTGACCCAGAAAACGCCAGCGCCATTAAAGAACACCCCAAGGTTTCCATTAAATACATCAAGAGAAGGCTTCCTTCCTTCATCTTCCATTGGAGGAGCTCAACACAGAACATCGAAACCCTTTTGAGGATTTCAGGTCAGAAACTCATTCTTTTGGGGAATTTAAGGTTAAAATCCATCTGGGTTTTTTGTTTCCTGTTTTAACCAGCAAAATCAAACCCTTTTGCCTCCATATTTGCAGGGTGGAGAGATGAATGTCAATGAATCTAGCTTGAAGGATGAAGAAGGAAGTGGTGGCAGAATCAGAGCAGAAAAACCACCAACATTACAGAATCTGCAACTAAAACAAGTTTCTAATTCTTTCAACAATATGGTCGTTGACCAGAGGAGTTTCCCTTCATCTGGGAGAAAAATTCGACAGCCAGAGAATCAGAGAAAACCCAGAATTTCACTTCCCAAGCCGGTCGTTATATCTTCTTCCATTACTAAGCCAGTCAGTGAGCTGGATTCTGCAGCAACTAAGCTACAAAAGGTCTATAAGAGTTACAGAACCAGACGGAACCTGGCAGATTGTGCAGTAGTGGTTGAGGAGCTATGGTGTGTGAAACAATTCTATTTCTCTTTTCAGTTTTTGGCTTACAGAAATTCAGTGTTTTGTTTCTCACTGTTCATTGAACTTTGAAGGTGGAAAGCTTTGGACTTTGCAGCTCTCAAGGTAAGCTCTGTGTCATTTTTCGATGTTGAAAAGACACAAACCGCTACATCGCGCTGGTCCCGGGCGAGGACACGAGCTGCAAAGGTAGATTTTTGGTATGATTGTGGCTTTTGTTTCTTGGTGGGAATTTGGGCATTGATGATGTTCTATCTTGTTTAGGTCGGGAAAGGCTTATCCAAGGATGAGAATGCTCAAAAACTAGCTCTACAACACTGGCTTGAAGCAGTAAGTTCATGTGATTCCAAGTTTTTTTTGTTGAATCTTCCACGTTGTCATCTGAGGCTGAAAGTGGTATTTGAGTTATCTTTAAGAGAAACAATCTTTTTAGATACCAATCATTCTAGATAAATCACGGATGTTCGCATATTGTCCACTTTGAGCATAATCTCTCGTGGTTTTGCTTTGGGCTTTCTTAAAATACCTCGTACCAATGGAGATATATTCCTTATTTATAAGCCCATAATTATTCCCTAAATTAGCCCATGTGAGACTACCTCCCAACAATCCTCCCTTCGAACAAAGTACACCATAGAGCCTCCCTTGAGGACTATGTAGCCCTTGAACAGTCTCCATTTAATCGAGGCTCGACTCTTTTCTTTGGAGCCCTCGAACAAAGTATACCCTTTGTTTGACGCATAAGTCACTTTTGACTACACCCTCGAGGCTAGCAATTTCTTTGTTCGACACTTGAAAATTCTATTGACATGGCTAAATTAAAGGCATGACTCTGATATCATGTTAAGACTACGACTCTCCACAATAGTATGATATTGCCCACTTAATTTCTCATGGCTTTGTTTTGGAAATTTTGGGCTTTTCCAAGAGGCCCTATACCAACCCATGATTATTCCCTAAATTAGCAAACGTGGACTCCCACCCAATTCTCAACCGTTATTTCAAAGATATAAATTCAATGCTCAGTAACAAAACCATATACCATCACCAAACATCTCAAACTCGACACAGTCATTGACTCGACAAAGTTCATGATTGAAACTTAAGAGCTTAGATATCAGCATGTTGACATAGCTCTATTGAACTTATGAGCAGATTGATCCCCGGCACCGCTATGGACACAACTTGCATTTTTACTACGATGTTTGGTTTGACAGCAAGAGCACACAACCTTTCTTTTACTGGTAATTTGCCTATCAACTACTGGCATCATTACATGACTAAATCCTCCTCATTCTAATCCTTAGATGTGTCTTTTAAAAGGTTAGATATTGGTGATGGGAAAAAGGTAAATCTTGAGAAGTGCCGTAGATCAGTTCTATACAAGCAATGCATACAGTATCTAGGACCAGTAAGTCCCACTCTCACTGGCCTAATCATGTAGCAGTTTCCATTCCATTGCAAGCATTAAGCAAGTATTTTTCTGTTCATTTATGTTGCAGAAAGAGAGGGAGGAGTACCTGGTGGTTGTGGAGGATGGAAAGCTTATCTACAAGCAAAGCAGAGTGCCCATCAACACAGTTGAAGATTCCAAGTTGATTTTTGTACTCAGTACCACTAGAGATTTGTATGTGGGGCTGAAGAAGAAAGGCCGTTTCCAGCACTCCAGCTTCCTGTCTGGAGGGGCTATAACAGCGGCCGGGCGATTGGTCGCCGTCGAGGGAGTTCTCAAGGTGTGTACTGCAATGCTTCAATATTGTTCTGGGTTATCTCATTTTCAGTGGGTGATGTTTCTATTTGAATCTTCCTTAGGCTATATGGCCATACAGTGGACATTACCTTCCAACAGAGAACAATTTCAAGGAGTTCATCAATTTCCTCGAAGAACACTCAGTAGACTTGACCAATGTTAAGGTAAATAGCCACTTGTTGTATCTGTTCCTTTTCAGCCTTGCTAGTTTAGGAATGATCATGGATTTATAAGTAAAGAATACATCTCCAGAGTGAGACCTATTGGAGAAGCCCATGAGAGTTTATGCTCAAAGTGGATATCATACCATTGTGAATAGTTGTAGTTTCTAGTCATGCCCTTAACTTAGCCATGTCAATAGAATCCCCAAATGCCGAACAAAGAAGTTGTGAGCCTCAAAGATGTAGTAAAAAAGTGATTCAAGTGTCAAACAAAGGGTGTATTTTGTTCGATGATTCTAGAGGAGTCGAGCCTCAATTAGGAAGAGGTTGTTTCAGGGCTCCATAGACCTCAGAGAAGGCTTCCCAGTGTTACTTTGTTCGAGGGGAGAATTGTTGGGAGAGAGTCCAACCTTGACTAATTTTAATTTTATGGAATGACCATGGGTTTCCAAATAAGGAATATATCTCCATTGATAGGAGGCCTTTTGGGGAAGCCCAAAGCAAAACCAGGAGAGTTTATGCTTAAAGTGGACAATATCGTACCATTGTAGAGAATCGTGATTTTTAACAATTTCTTCGTAATTACACAGAGGTGTTCAGTAGATGACGACAGCTACTCAGACAAAGACATGGTCAAAGAAACATCAACAGCAACATCGTCAGAAGACATGGTTGTAGAGGATGTCGATTTGGAAATACCAGTCAAGTTGGTTAGCACACTTGAGCGGCAAGAGAATCCAGGTAGCAGAATAGAGGCACCATTGATAGATGTACCAAAGCGCTTGCTGTGCAGATGGAGCAGTGGAGTTGGCCCCAGAATTGGATGTGTGAAGGAGTACCCAGCAGAGTTGCAAGCACGAGCATTTGAGCAAGTGAACTTGTCACCAAGACCCACACCGGGTTTCTTCGGCAGCTCTGTTCCGATACCTTCGCCTCGGCCTAGCCCGAAGATTAGGATGTCTCCCAGACTCTCATACATGGGGATCCCGAGCCCAAGGGTGCCTGTGACAGCCACCATCTAAGGTTCAGGCTCCTGCCTCTGCAGCCCCACAACAAATACTCTTATTTGGCTCAGCATTTCATGTAAATGATACTCATCTTTGTTCTTTCTGCCTGTAATGACTTGAAAGTACATCTTTGTTCTCTATGTAGATTTTCTTTCTTCCACTTGAGAATATAAACATGTGATTCTTCCTTCTTCTGTCAGAAAAGGGTATCAATAAGGCAATTGAATTCATAAATGATAGCTTAAAAAGATTGTCAAAGAATTCAAGAACATCTATGATAACTGAAGTTGGTTAATATTATTAAGTTCAATCATGGATCAAAGGCTTTTCAAGATCAAAAATAGATTCTATCAGAACCCATACTTTCTAAATTATGACAACAGGAACTATCTTCCACAAGAATTGGCAAGAACCTAAACGAATTTGAGGTAAGAAAATGGTTGAATTTTTCAGCAGACTCCTACAATTTACATGAAAAGAAGTAACTGATTCTCAATTAATCAATGGGATAGTTACTCTTAGTGGTAAAGAAATCAGCAAATGACTGAATAATCTCGCAGGTCCTTTTCTGCACATGCCTGCAAATAAAACCACGAAGGAAAAGAGTAACCATAAGCCAATGATTCTTAAAAAAAATATAAGCGAAACAAGAACAATCAGTGGCTCCTTTGCGACCTCCACCATCCTCAAACCTATACCACACCAAAGAGGAGCAAATCATTGATTTCACTATCTACATTGCTATATCTACGGCTTGGGCTGAAGAAACCCCATTTGATCAACGAGTTCCTCCAAGTCCTCGGTCCAATCAGGAGGTTCATCAATCAAATCCTCCACTTCCACATCGATTTCTGATTGATCACCAACCATTACGCCTTCCTCCTCTGGATTTTCAGCCATAAGATCTTCATTCCAAAGTTCATCCAATATTTCCTCATGCATTGAGTGACCAACATCCTTGATCTCACTGCTTGACTCGTCTTCAAAATTGGCTGTTAACAGCGATTCCATATCAGGCTCCGGAGTTTCTAGCTGTTCTTGTTTAACAGCTGCTAGTATGGTCTCATCCTGGAGATTCTCTAGACTTGGGCTAGCAGTTAGTCTTCGTTTTCGACCGATTCCGGCGCTTGTCAGTTCTCTTATCTGATTACTATGGATTAATTTCTGAATGAAGGACGGATTCTTTAGGGCTTTGCTGAGGAATGTCATGATCTGCTTCTGTTTACTCTCTGCTTTCTGTAGCCTATCCTCCATAGCCATTACTTGCTCTCTTGAACTTTGATGTTGTTGCCTCAATCTTACTAATTCCACAATTAACGAGCTTCTGTCCCTTCTCAGCCTCTCAAGTTCGCCTTCCAATCCAAATTGCCCTAATTCCACACATGTTCCTCCTTGGTGTTGAGAGCTTTGGGACGAATGCCTCCTCCTCTTAATCGTTTTTAATAGATTCCGCTGTCCTCCAAGAAACCCCTCATTCGCAAACTCCCAACGATCGGGATCGACTTTTCGAAAACCCTACATTGAAGAATTACAACATCAACGAGGTCAGATCATCAAGATTTCAAACAATTTCATCCAAACAAAGAGATAGAAAGAAAGACGATCCTAACGATCGGGATCAACTTTTCGAAAACCCTACATTGAAGAACTACAACATCAACGAGACCATATCATCAAGATTTCAAACAATTTCATCCAAACAAAGACGATGATCCTAGATTGTATTTTCCACGAAAGAAAAGATCAACAGTTCCAAACAAAGCAGTTTCCGAAATCGAACTCTAACAGAAACGAAATTGAAATTGATTTTACCGATAACTTACATAAGTATTGAGCTGGCGAATGAAACTAGAGAAATTAGAGTGTTTAAAGTATCGAGGAAGCAAGGTAGTGGACAATTTGAGATAGTCCCAAACGATGAAACTATTACGAGCTTTACTCCACGAAACAATGGAGTCCGTCAAAGGATCTTCCACCATATCAAAGGTCTTCGACAGAAATGGAGGTGGTCCGACATCGTGTAGACCTTCAATCGGCCGGGGAGCAGTTCTCAAAGACGAAGAAGAAGTAGAGGAAGAAGACGCCGGAGCGCCGTCCGGCTTCGTCTTCGCTTCGAGTTCATCCATTTCTTTGATCGGAAGTAGTTTAATCGGAGACTGGAAGATTAATCAGTGTAGTAACTTGAAGAAGGATGGAGTTTCCGGAGCTTAATGTTTCGAGTGTTAATGGAAGGAGGAAACTGAATATTAATGGCGTCGGCATGGAAGGTTCTAGGACTGCGGGTAGAGGATTCGTTCGAAGCTTCTTTTGCCACGTGTCCGAATCACAAATATCTCAATTCACTCGCTTCTAGAAACTTCTCGTTTGTTCCAGCGCCGAAACCATCTTGAAAGATATTTTTGCTTTTTTAATAAAATATCAAAATACAATATTATTGCCACGTGTCCCAATAAAAAATTTGCTCTTTTTTAAAGGAATATTAAAGTCATGTTTTTTTTTTTTTTTTTTTTAATGTTTTAAGATATTCCACCAAAACTAAAGGACGGGTTCGGTCATAAGCATCTATTAGTTCATTTATTCGGAGCTTTATTCTCGTTTGGGAGCTCATTCCCAAGTGTAGGTTCTTTCTAAGCTACACCCTATGTTCACCGATCTACCCAATCTTAACTTAGAATATTTTAGCATAAGCTAGTTCAAGTTCTTAGTTCTTGGTCCAATCTCACCTCCCGCCCTCAAAATTTCTTTTGGGTTCTTTAAGTCTCATGAATTTTCATTCTGCTAGTCTCTTTCATCATCACAGGCCCTCAAGGCGTGACCACAGTATCATTCTCATAGAGTTCATGTATTATAAGATTCAACCAACTCTCAAGGATACTACCGTTGACCCCTGCTGCTCATGACAGGTTCAAAAAAAAACTAATGACAAACTTTCTAGTAGTTCCATAGAATACAATCATACACACATAAGGCATCACAGGCCAGTTTTATAGTTACTCAAACCCTTGACAATCGAGTCAGGTTTACGATTAAGGGTTAGTTGGTAAACTCTTAATCATCCCTATGTAACCGCTAAATCACATGCATGAACAATAATCAAAAGTCTCAAGGTCAACCAACTCTAAGGTTCAATTGTGGAGCCCTGCTGGTTTAAGTTAACTGACAAACTTTCTAAAATCCCTGTAAGAGTGCAAATCATACATCATAAGCTAAATCTACTGTTAAAACCTTGACAATCGAGTCAAGTTTACATTAAGGGTTAGTCAGCGAACCCCTAATCGTCTCCATATAACCACTAACTCACATGCATGAACAATAATCAAAAGTCTCAAGATCGACTAACTCAAAACTACAATAGGGAACCCCTGCCGCTCGTTACAAGTTCACTCAAGGAAAGTTAACTGAAAAATTACTTAATTATCCCTACATAGTACAAATTATACGTCATAAGATATCATAAGCCAATTTTATAATTATCTGGACTCGTGACAATCATGTTAGATTTACGATTAAGGGCTAGTTGGTGAATCCTTAATCGTTTCGGTATAACCGCTAAATCGCATACATGTACAATATAGACATAGCACAGCGACTAAACATGGATACCTAGTCATGATTTCAATTTCGCTCGAATCGGAGCTCAACTCATGTCTTCCTTGAAGAATGTGCATCATAGCGTTTAACTTGCTCTTACATACAAAAAAAAAAAAAAAAAATCAACCATTTCCATGCTAAAAAATCATGATAACATGGTTCCTATAATATGCTATTGATCATACTAAAGACAAGTTTTTAGTTCCATTCAAATTAGAGTTCAATAGATAATTTCTTGGGAAACATGAACCATAACGTTTAACATATTAAGACTCTTCTCACCACCATCGGCGTCCATCCCACCGTCATCGAACTCGACGCTCACAACGAAATTGCTGCCGTTCCTTCTTCGTCGTTTGTTCGAGATAGTTCATCTTTGACGATTTTCATACAAGTTAGTTGCGTTGATGACGGTGACCCGAGCAACCAGAATGACTTGGGATGGATTGTCGAATTGTCTTTTTTAATAATTTAAAAAAAATTCAATTATCTACTCCACATATTACATTAATAACTAAAATTTTTGTTAAAACTCAAATACCAAATATTAGAAGTTCAGATTTTCATAATAATCTTAAAAAGACAGTAGAATTCGGTTGAGTTTTAAACCTATTTTGGAGTTCATCGTATTGACTTGACAAAAAAAAAAGTCAACTTGCTGTACATGAATTTTTCAAAAATTCAACTCAAACCAAAATAAAATCTAACTCTAGTTGGGTTGTAACCCTATTTTTTTAAGTTAAACAAAATCTAACCCACAAGATTCGTCAGGTTGACATTGACATAAAAAAGTCAACTAAGTCAACTGAATTTTCAATTTTTCAAAAATTAACTCAACCTGGATGAATTGTAATCTATTTGTTAGTGGGTGAGTTTGACTTATAAAAGAAAAATCAACCTAATTTTCAACTTTTCAAAAATTAACTCAACTCAAATCTCAAAAAATGTCATAGAACACAAAACCTTATCATATGAACACAAGCCCTTATGACTTGGGTAGTTTGAATTAGCCCGTCCTTATGGTTTGGGTATGACTTAAGTAGTTTGAATTAGCTCGTCTTTATAGTTTGAGTAGCTTAGATTGGTCATGTTCTCGCGTCATATGAACATCCTGAAAGTAGTAATTAAACCAAAGTAACAATAGAATATTTAATTTTGTTTTTTTAAAATGCAAAATCAACAGTAAAAACTACAACTTTACTGCTTTTTCTGTGTAAAGGAAGAGGAATAAAGGGCTCTCCCAGTGCTCTGCCTGATCTAGTAAAGCATTATTCAACGAACATACAAGAAAAAATCTCGGAGATGAAACAGGAAACCAAGTTACTTTCCTTCTATATCAGAATCTCTTCTTGTATTACTGTTTTTCTGTTGTTGATCTTGTGTTATCCTCGTTCGTGTGATTGACTCGAGACACAACGAGGCAAATGAATGGCTTAGGAACACTCTACACGACGATATCGAGCGTAAGCTCGTTCCCGAACTCACTCTACAAGAATTTTGCTAATTTCTAAAGACTATAACATACTACAACCCACCCCATTTCATGAATTTCTTCACCTCGTCGTACAAAACTAGGATTGCTGCGGAACCTGTACTCCTGAACATGTTCGACACAGCGCCTCGATAGAACGAGCTAACCCCCTCCAATCGATAGATCTTCTTCCAGCAGTCCAGAGTGCTGTTGTACATTGGCGTCTCCAACCCAGATTGCATCATCATCCGCCTTCGAACTGTATCGAACGGATACGATAACAATCCAGCAGACGTTGTGACCACTTGAGCGACCCCCCATCGCTTCCATAGTGCCAACTCTGATTTGGACGGTTCGACCAAAATCTCTTTCATCGTGTCGAAACCGCCAAAATAAAGGCCTCGGTGCACGACCATTCCTTGTAGAGAGGCTGGAAGTCCCCTGTAAATCCCTTGAATCCCATCCTTTTTGTATATGGTACCAAGGAAATGGCAGATGCCTCGAAACTGTCGGACATCAGTTCTTCCGATATCGGCAGCGAGACGAGTGTGCGCAATATCTAAAGGGTATATCAAAACTAACGTCGAACAACCAGCAGCTGCCCCAGCAATAAAATTGGCTGATGAACCAGAAAGAAAATGACCATCTACAAATCCATTCCTTAACATTGCTTTATATAGATCCTGTGCAAGGAAACAACATTCAGAAACCATAAAAGCTGTTTGAATTACAGAATGTTCAGATACCAGCACGTGCAACAACATCGAACGAGTTCTAAAATGAAAACGAGTATAAAGAACGCAGAATGCCTACCAGAAAAGCTTACAATACAAACATATCATGTACGTGCAAGAGATGTCCGTTTTACAAACAGAACGCAAGAAACCAGAAAAGCTTACAATACAAACATATCATGCACGTGCAAGAGATGTCCGTTTAAAAAACAGAACGCAAGAAAACCTCGAGCACAATCTTTATGATTTGCTCATTTTCCACACCGAGCAATTTCTTGCAATGCTTAGAGTTATCAAAGGAGGTTCGAACTAAAATCTTAAGATACATCTCAGTTAAAAGGCAATGAATCAACTGATAGCTTGATGTAATATAATCATCAGCTTCTTGATTTCCAATCTCCTAATGGTTGGGAGCCCAACATCGACTAATTAAAGGGTTGATCATGGGTTTATAAGTAAGGAATACATCTTCATTGGAATGAAACCCTTTGGGGAAACCAAAAACAAAGCTACGAGAGCTTATGTTCAAAGTGGACAATATCATACCATTGTGGAGGTTCGTAGTTCCTAACATGGTATCAGAGTCATGCCCTTAACTTAGTCATGTCAATAGAATCCTCAAATGTCAAACAAAGAAGTTGTGAGCCTCGAAGATAGTCAAGAGTAACTCAAGTGTCGAACACGAAAGGTGTACTTTGTTCGAGGGCTTCAGAGAAAGAGTCGAGCCTCGATTAAAGGGAGGTTGTTCAAGGACTCCATAGGCCTTAGGGGAGGCTCTATAGTGTACTTTGCTCGAGAGGAGTACCACATCGGCTGGATTAATCATGAGTTTATAAGTAAAAAATACATCTCCATTGGAATGAAGCCCTTTGAGGAAACCAAAAGCAAAGCTACAAGAGCTTATGCTCAAAGTGGACAATATCATACCATTGTGGAGGTTCGTAGTTCCTAACATAGTATCAGAGCCATGTCTTTAACTTAGCCCTGTCAATAGAATCCTCAAATGTCAAACAAAGAAGTTGTGAGCCTCAAAGGTAGTCAAGAATGACTCAAGCGTCGAACGAAAGGTGTCCAGGCTCCAGAGAAGAAGTCGAGCCTCAATTAAGGGGAGGCTGTTCAAGGACTCCATAGGCCTTAGGGGAGGCTGTATAGTGTACTTTGCTCGAGAGGAGTACCACATCGGCTGGGTTAATCATGGGTTTATAAGCAAGGAATATATCTCCATTGGTATAAGACCTTTTGGGTAAACCAAAAGCAAAGTCACGAGAGCTTATACTCAAAACGAACATAATCATACCATTGTAGAAGTTCGTGGTTCCTAACACTATCATCAACAACCGACATAACTAGACTTTGACAATGCATTAACATTTGTAGCTTCTGGCTGTTCTCATAGCCTATTTGTTTTACAACTTCTAGTTTCTACTGATTCATCATATTCCAGTTCAGCCATGAAAACTAAAACATTAAATGCAGCATAATTCTTAAAACTCTATCAAGAACAAGAACACAAGTAAAAGTAAACCAATCAATTCCCCTTCACATTCAGCATAGATTCAGGAAGAACAAGTTGTGTAAGTATGAACTAATATCAAACAAATCAGAAAACAAGAACAAATTTGGAGATACCTTGAGAGAAAAATTTAGGGCAACTGAAGGGTAATAACGAAGAACACTACTTCCATTGCCTCTCCACAAAGAAAGAATACCTTCTTCCCTAACGGTGCGAAGAATACAATCGAACATACCCTTGAATCTCCTTCGCCCAGCCGCAACAATGGCCAGATTGCTCTCTTGAGTCTGTAAAAGAAGCTTGGTCCTCTCAATTGGGGCAACGATTGTGTGCACTACTCCGCCCATGACTGCCCCAGCCAACAAATCGCGATGGAAATTCGTCAGCCAATTGTACGCCGGCGGTGAAATCGGAAGCGATCTTGAATCCCTCGTTTCAAGATCATCGTCATCCTCTACACGCATTCCTCAAAACCCCTCTTCCTCGATCGATTACACGATGAACCAGAAATCAAAGATTTCTCAATTTATGGATTCTTCCAACAATAGGAATGAAAGAAAAAAATAAGAACAAATAATTTATTCTCAAATCATCTCGGATTTCAAACAAGGGTATTTGAAATGGGTGCGGAAGATTGAACTTGATGGAATGGTCAGAGAAACCGACGGCTCTGATTGGTTCTGGACTTTGATCCTTCTTATCTAATCTACGTAATTCCCTCTCACGAACCCATTGATTTGTTTTGGAAAATAAAGGATGAACTCATCTTTTTGGATTAAATTTGAAGACTTCATGTCATAGCGTGTTTGTTTCATAAATGGATAACGAGGCTGAGTGGATTTCTTGGTTGACCCAATCACTAATGTTCTTAGTTAAAAGAAATACGTGCAAATCAAATAAACGAACTCTATTCCCCTATCCGTTGCAGTCTTTTTGCTTGGATCACATATAACATCAATTTCAATCTCTCATATCTTCCGTTCAAAACTCTCTGCCCCATTTTCTAAAACTTTCTTCTTGAACCGGGGCCAGAGGATCGTCACTTGGTCGTAGACAACTCAAGAATAATTGACTTAACTCACTTCTTGCCCGAAAGAAATATTTTAAATAAAGAAAATACGTCACATTCTTGTCTTAACCTAAAAAAATATTTTAAAAATTATTACGAATAATAAAGATGTAACACGAAAATAATAATAATAATAAATAAATAAATATTTCAAATTTAAAAAAGAAATGGGTAACCTATCCCTCCTATTTCCTTCCATCTCTCATCACTCATTTCCTACAAATAAATCTGCCAACAAATTAATAATTCCTTCTGCCTATATACCCATATCAGAATTCCTTCTTTCCTACAAAAACAAAACAAAAGGTTGAAGCAGATTTAGTTTAATGCCATTTGAAGAGGTGTATGTTACCTCTTCGATTATTTTATTAAATGATATTAATTTGGTTAAATTGGTGACTAGTCTGAGCTAATAGGGTAAATAGTTTTACTATTGACATGGTTATATTTGATGTTGACACCTGTCCCGTGGTTCTGCACGTGTCATATATAATGATATGCGTGAATTGTTTATGGATCGATATGCTTATGATATTATATGATATGTATATGTTATAATATGTGAATTGTATGATAACACCTATGGTACAATGTGTTCAGTGATATGTTTGAGATAGAATATGAGAAGGATGCACTAAATGTAATGTAATGATAGAAGTAAGATATGTTCATGAAACGTTAAAGTTAGGTTACATATCGAAGTGCTATGGATATGAGAAATTGATAAAAGAGATATGGTTACGATCGATTGATAAAAGAATATGATTAGGTTATGAGTAGAAAGGGATAGTATTATGATAGATTGATAGAACGACAGCATTAGGATACATTCCTGTAACGATATGACTAAAGTATATTCATGTAATGATATGACTGTGATAGGTATATGAACGTTAAGGCTATGATAAGTTAGGGAAAGATATGACCACGAAATGTTTACGTTATGACATGTGATATGATATGAAACATGTTATGGTACGAGATATGTGATAAATTGACATGTTTATAATATGATATATTGTGATGCCATATATTTGATATGATATGTATAATATATATAATTTTAAAAATATATATTTGAAATTTGAAGAGAAAATGCTGTTGAAATTATCAAAAGATATTTTAATTCATGCAGAAGGATGGAGTTCATGTTATAAATTTTGGGTGGATTACAACGGATAGTTATTGTATTTCATTCATTTATTTCAAGATTTTTTTATTAGTTACATTTACCTCGTGGCTAATTATAGTAAGTATACATAGTGTCTAATTATGAACATAAAGCATGAATGTTACAAGCTGTTGAAATGACTAAAGAGTTTTATTTTGAGGCTATATAAAGTCTGACAAGACAAGATGTGACGTTGCATTGAGAGACTTTGGCCCCGAGCAGAGGCAAGGTCGAGTCGAATGACTTAACCTAGTATAGAGGCAAGTTGGATGTGTCGCAAACGATTGAACATACATGCGCAGGCGGCGTGTGTGGTTGAACAAGCTTGGATTCCACACAAGCGATGTTCGATTGACGAAGACAAACCTCGCTTAAGATCCAACGAAGCCACAAAGTCGGGGCGAAAAATATATATGAGACTTAATTCCCCTTAAGGCTGATCGTGAGCGTGTCAAGATCACAACGAAGATCGTGATAATTGTGTTAACTTTGTAAAAAAAGACTTTGGAAAATGTAGTAAAATAAGCATATATGCTTTCTTTCGTCAATGACTAAGTTTATTTGTTTAGGTTGCAGGTAGAATCATTCAAGCTTGTCATGATCAATCTTGTTTGTAAAATGATTCGAATCTCAAACAAATGTAGTTAGGTATGATCGATCTTGCTTGTGGAGTGATTCGAGTCTCAAACAAATGTTTTTACCTTAAAATAATCCAAATCTTACTCGTTTTGTAGTGATTCCATATCATACCAAGTACGAGCGATATTTTTTTAATTTAAATTAATAGTAATAAAGATTTTATTTTAATAAAAAAAATTATATAAAACAAATTCAAATTAAAAAATTGAAATTGAAACTGGTAAAAAAATAATAATAATAATAGTAACTTGTGACCGACAATAGGCTCAAATTAGAAGGTCCAAAAATAATAATTTAAAAATTTGTTAGAGAAGAGAGAGAAATGAATTAAAAATAAATAAATTTATTTAAAAAAGAAAAAGTGAGAGAGAGAGAGGGAGAGAGAGATGAAGGGCAAAAAAGGAATGAAATAAAAATGCAAAAGGAGGGCGTTAAGAGTGTCGACACTATCGGCCTCATTGTTAAGCAAGAAGTCATAACTGTAGGCTCATGCCTCTGCGTCTGCCCTCCATTTCATTCCATTATGTCGACACTCTTCTCTCTTCCCTTCTCCCCCATCTCCCACCTTCTTTCTCTCTTCTCCTCCTTCTCCGATCGCTCGCGGCCGCTTCTCTTTTATAAACTCTTCAAACAATCCCCCTTCCATCCTCATTCCATTTCCGGCGCCTTTTCTTTTCACCATTGTAATCTATTCTCATGCTGTTCTTCGAGGTTCCAATCCCTCCCCATTCTTCCCTCTTTGGTTTCTCTGATTTCTCCTCGTTTATATGTGTTCTGTTCTTCAGGATTTGTGGCAGATGCTCTGGTTTGAAGGTTTCCAAGATCAAACTCGACTTCTCTCTGGTAATTTCTCCATTCTCGTTTGTTTTCGCCTTGATTCGTCTATTCCGCTTTCAATTGAACTGAGTCTGTTTCAGAAATCTGTGGATTCCTAATTTCTTGGTGTTTCTGTATTCTTGTTATTGATGGATTAATTTATTGATTCTTCGTTTGTAGGTTTTAGTTAGATTAGGTTTGTGTAATTGATTTCTAATCTGGGGAATTTTCGTTCTCCATTTGTAATCGAACAGAGTCCATTGTACGGACCGTATCCGAATCAATGGGCAATTCATCCTGTAGTGTATCTGAGTTAGAACTCTGTAGAGATGATTCGGCAGCGCTTAATTTCAAATTAATCGCCATTGCCTCGATTCTCACATCCGGAGTTTTGGGAATTGCCATTCCGTTATTCGGCAGACATCGCCGGTTTCTCAAAACGGATGGCAATCTCTTTGTAGCGACTAAGGCGTTTGCTGCCGGCGTGATTCTTGCGACGGCGTTTGTTCATATGCTTCCGGATGGATCGAAAGCTCTCTCCGATCCGTGCTTGCCGGAGTTTCCATGGTCGAAATTCCCCTTCTCTGGATTCTTCGCGATGATGGCGTCGCTTTTGACGCTCCTCGTCGATTTCGTTGGAACTCAGTATTACGAGAGGAAACAGGGGCAGATTCGATTGAAAGAAGAAACGAATCGGGTCGGGTCGGGTTTGGATTCCGGGTTGGAGGCTGGGATTCTCCCGGCCGCCGATTCGAACGTGAAAGTGTTCGGCGAAGAGGATGGCGGCGGGATGCACATCGTCGGAATGCATGCACACGCCGCGCAACACCGTCACAGTCATCCGCAGGGGAAGGATGCATGTGACGGGCACGTGACACTCCATGATCATGGCCATGGTCATTCTCATGGGCTGGACGGCGACGATGACGAAAGCGGTGTACGACATGTCGTTGTTTCCCAGGTAATCCATTTATCTTCTCGATTAATGAAAATTCCCGAATATTGACGTCATTATTCTATGGGACAGATTTTGGAGCTTGGAATAGTGTCGCATTCAGTGATAATTGGGCTGTCTCTTGGAGTGTCCCACAGCCCATGCACCATAAGACCCTTAATTGCAGCTCTCTCGTTCCATCAATTCTTTGAAGGCTTTGCTCTTGGTGGCTGCATCTCTCAGGCTCAGTTCAACACCCTCTCAACCTCCCTCATGGCTGTGTTTTTCGCCGCCACCACGCCCGTCGGGATTGCCATTGGCGCGGCGATCTCTTCCACCTACAACCCGAACAGCACCGGAGCGTTGGTTGCCGAAGGCATTTTGGACTCTCTATCAGCTGGGATACTGGTGTATATGGCTTTGGTTGACTTGATCGCTGCTGACTTTCTTAGCAAGAGAATGAGCTGCAATTTTCGACTCCAAATTGTTTCGTATTGTACGCTCTTTCTCGGTGCGGGATTGATGTCGTTGCTCGCGCTATGGGCTTGATCATAAATTCTATTCGTTTTTTTGGGAGGAAAATGTTTTTTCGACGTTGTTAGGAGGAAGAAATGGAAAGAGATAGATGATGTTAGGGAATTAATTGTTTTTGGAAGGGTATGTACACTCGAAATCCCTTTTGGAATTCCACAAAAATGCATCAACTGACCTAATGTCTTAACTAGTTGAGTTACGCTACGTCATGTTGTAAGTTAATAATAAATTTGGTTTTCAAACATTTAAACTTTTGGCACTAGCTTGCACGTCGTCTAGACATGGATTACAACGTTTAGATCACATGGGTAAGTTGACCTCTTTGATGATTGGAGTTTGTTTATCTCTACTAAAATTTTTATGCCTAAATGGCATTATCAGAATATCCGTCAAGAATGAGCGTTCAATTGTTCATGCATGGCCTCATTTGCAAATCATGGGTAAATTCTTTCTTAGATCAGTTTAAAGTATGTTGATCATTCAAAGTATGTTGATCATTCTTTGGTTTTGATAGTGTTAGATCTGCTCGACTTTAAAGGCCTTATCATGGCGAACATGGACCCGTCAGGCAGGCTCGTAACCGTACTCCCTAGG